GAGGAATGCTTCCAAAGGGATGGGGTATGAAGGCAGAAAGGAGCAGAGACAGGCTGCCTTACAGTACAAACATGAGTGAACAGCTTTCATATGGCTGTAGTAAAAGTAAATGCCGTGGTAGGAAAGTCCCCCAGACCATGTCACATGAGGGTTTCCCACTCCACAGAGGCTCAGGTTGTAAAGAAAGTCAAAGGGAGTCAAAAATAGAGTCAATATCAAAATTCAGAAAGTCAGAAGTCTGGCAGGCAGACTATGTCAGGAATGGGCTTATACAGAGTGCAAGAGCCTTAAGGTAAACACTTCACGAGGGAGGAGGTAAGGCCAGCTGAGACTGAAAGCAGGGAGCAGGTATTTGAGGGTGTCAGAGCAGCAGCTGCAGGGTTAATTGCCTGTTTTAGAGACGGGACAGGAATGGCTTTTGTGATTCCATAGGCCTGTGACTCATCCCTCTGTTCAGTGTATCAGTGTATCAGTGGATACAGAGATGTCCTTGCAAAAGAATTGCATTAACTCATTCCAAACCATCCTCTCTTCCAGCAACACCCTTCAGATTCCCTTTTGAGCAGACCCCTCTCCCAACTCCTGACACCTGAGCTGGTTTTCCTGTGTCTGCTCTCATATTTCTTCCCTCCCCTCTTTAATCCCTCTTCTTCTCAAGTCCCTATCTGCTGCTGCTGCACTCTATCAACCATCTTCCCAGTGCTGCCACCATCATCTGGGGTTTTCCCCTACCCAGTATGCCCAAATCCTTTCCACCAAAGAAGCATCACCCTCACGCTAACACCGTGTAAATTTTCCCAATTTACCAACTTGCTGATGTCTGTAATTGGTAAATTCCTCTGGAATTAAGAACAGTAACAGAAAAACTGGAACATCATCTGGAGAAGATTGAGCTCTCCTAGCAGGCATGTGACATGTCAGCTGTCCACACTCACTCCTGTCTCCTGTGTTAATTTAGGTGATGGTGATGGACACGTCCGACAGGCCAGAGACATCGCCCACCACCCACCTGCGAGCCACGGTGAGTCTGCATGGGAGCTGTCCCCAGCCCTGGGCTCACCAAGAGCTCTCAGACAGCTTACCCATGGCTTACCTGTGCACTGGCTCCTCCCAGGAATATGTTGATTTTCAGATGGGCTGCAGAGGTGCCACAGCTCATAACGTCAGGGGACTCGGATACCAGCTGTGTCCTGGGCTCAGTACTTGATGAGGTGCTTTTGCATGGGGAATTTTCCAGAGAAAGGTCCAAACTGGAAAGTGATGCTTCATTACTGGGAAGTGGTGATTAGTCACTTTCTTATTTTCACTGCACAGTGAAAGAAGACTGGATCTGACAGAATTACTGAACCGGCTGGGTTAACACTAGCCCATAAGGCCAAATATAGGTCCTACCTTGTCCTACCCCACCCACCTGGTGGGGACAACCGGTGACAGAGGTACTGGGAGTGGAGAAAATTCCTTCCCAGCAGTGTGTAGGTGCATTCAGCTGTTTGTTGTATGAGGTGCAGACACTCTGGAGCATGGAAAGGACATAATCAAATCCAACAAGTCAGGAAGTGTCTAAAGAGCTACTTGGGTAAGGCCAGAGAACAGCAATGGCTTTGCCCTGTTGAGATGCCAAGAGCTGATTCAATTGTTAGAGATATGGATGTCATCATCACCCTCTCTCGGGGGCAAAGTGCTAAACCTCTGTGCTGTACCAGCAAGTGACTTTGTCCCCCAGATTTGCATTTGCCTGTGGTGATACATCATCTTCATGACACAGGCAAATCACTGAGACTGAACCCACCCTGGATGAGGGTCCTTGAGTGACAGTGATGCCTGGCTTGGTCTCACCAGACATTTTTGCTGTGTGTCCCCATCAGTTTGAATCCAGTCTTAGGAAGGTGTGAAACTCAACTCTTACACTGATCATGTCAAGATTTTGATTTACTCTTGTAAGTAAATCAAAACCAAGCATGGCAGGAATCTAGCCTAGGAATGTGTGTGCAAAAGGACGTAGACACAAAGGAAATACCCCCCTTTTAGGGGGATTTAATTAGCAGCTCTTGTTTCCAGCCTCAGCTTGGCCCAAGGACTGCAGTGAGATTCCCCGTGGAAGCCACAGTGGTGTGTACATCATCCAGCCCAAAGGGCTGCACCACCTCGTGGTGTACTGTGAGATGAACGTGACCCACGGGGGCTGGACCGTCATCCAGAGGAACCAGAGGGACACCCCTGTCACCTGGGCTGAGTCCTGGAGCACCTACAAGTTTGGCTTTGGGAACGTGCGCACCGAGTACTGGCTGGGCACCGAGTACATCCACCAGATTGCCAAGCAGAAAGTTTACCAGGTCAGGTTTGTCATCCAGGACTCTGCTGACACCTTCAGCTTCGCAGACTACAACCTGTTCAGCCTGGATGACGAGTCCCAGGGCTACCAGCTCCGGCTGGGCTCCTACAATGGCACAGCTGGGGATGCCATGACCTCAGACAATCCCAACAACATGCATGACAACATGAAATTCTCCACGAAGGACCGGGATCAGGACACCTACAGTAAGAACTGTGCCTACAGCTACGAGGGAGGGTGGTGGTACTCATCGTGTTATTCTGTGCGGCTGAATTTCAAGGGTGGCATGACATGGGGCAACCTGTGCAAGGGGAACTGCAAATCCTCTCTTATCCTCATCAAACCAGCTTCATACTGTTAGTGCTTCTTCCTCCTCCTGTCCACAGTGCACACTCTGCAAAGGCTCTGCGTGGCCAAAGGGTGTGAGCCTCTCTGGAGCAGAGCGAGGAGCACAAGGGTAGCAGGGCTTTAATGAAATGCCACTTTACAATCCCCCACTCCAATTGCAGACTCCCCTCTGCTCCCCTGTGCTTGCCAATGATTCCTTGTTATTATGTTCATAATCAAGAATTAAAAAACACTTATGAAATTTGTGGATTCCACATGTACCTTCTCTGTAGGAGGAAGACACACAGCCCTGGAGTTACATCAGCTTTCTTGCTCTCTCCAGAACTCACAGAAAGCAAAAAAGCTGCATGCCCCAAATTTCCATATACTCTGAGCCTCTCTGCAGTGTTTGATAAAGCATCCAATAAACATGCTTGCTTGAGCTCATTCTTCAGTAATGACATCTGTTCTGTACCTCTGATCTTCTCCCATGAGACCCAAGAAATTCCATGTCAGGTACCAGGACTGGAGTCTTCAGTCTTATCATAGAATCACAGCCTAGTTTGGCTTGGAAGGGATCTTTAGCTCCTTTGTCCCATGATTGTTCCAGTACTGCTGGGACAGACTGTCAGAGAAGCACTTTGGTATTCATAAACCCTGCCTGGTTTTGTCCTGCAGCAGCACAGTAACAGCCATGAGTTTCACTTCCAGGACCAATGGCTTAGGGAAAACCCATCCCTGGCCCACCAGCTGCAGAGTCCAATAGGTGCTGAGAGCCATCCAGAGAGGTTTGAGAAACTAGAAAATGCTGAGAGAAATAAGCAGTGGGGGATGTCTGAGACAGAAAGAGCCTGAAACTGCTCCAGGGAATGGCCCTCAGCACTGCAGAGTGGGGAGCACCTGCACCTGGGGATGTCTGAGGAAAATGTGAGCTCAGCTACTCCTGCTGAAGTGTCTCTTTGGGCTGTACTGAGAACCTCCATCACCAGGCACTGAGCCCCCAGAACAGAGCATGAAGGAACAGCCTATGCCTGCCTTGGAATGTGCATCACAGCACAGGGAGGGGAAGCACAAAGCAGCTCCAGCATGGATTTGCCTTGGCTGGAAGAGCAGCTCTCCTGTGTCAGGGTCAGAGGCTGGTAGAGAAGGAGACATGGCTGTTGGGGGGCGGCGGAATTTTTCTTGTAGGTTTCTGAATCCCTGCAAGCATTTAGTGAGCCTCTGGCAGCAGTTCCTGATCCCAGCGGGGCAGCCTTCTTCGGGGGATGAAGGGGCCCGCACAGACCCGCTGAGACAGGCTGTCCCAGTGACAGGGAGCCCCAGTGACAAGGTGGGCCAGTAACAGGGAGCCCCAGTGACAGGGAGCCCCAGTGACAGGGTGTCCCAGTGACAGGGTGTCCCAGTGACAGGGAGCCCCAGTGACAGGGTGTCCCAGTGACAGGGTGTCCCACGGCTCCCACCTCTCCTGAGCCAAGGGGTAAGAGGGCACGGGCTGTCACCGGCGGTGCCGGGCAGTGACAGCGAAACAGCGGGGGCGGCGGGAGGGACTCGCATAGCGGCGTGCGGGATGTGCACAGAGAGCTGCGGGGTGCACAGCGGGGTCCGCAGGGTGTGCACGGAGGGTGCAGGGTGTGCACAGAGGGTGCAGGGTGCTCACAGAGGGTGCAGGGTGCTCACAGAGGTGCAGGGTGTGCACAGCGGGTACATGGTGGGCACTGAGGGTGCACAATGCACAGAGAGGGATGCAGGATGCACAGAGCCGGGTGCCGAATCCGTGTATCGGGGTACAGGGTG